TGGTGGTGGTGGTGGTGGTGGTGGTGGTGGTGGTGGTGGTGGTGGTGTCGAAGAGGTTTTTGTTGAGCTACCAACCAAAATTGGCCTACTACATCCGATGTACCTCTATAGTACCACATAGTACCACTCTTGTTCTTTGAGAGTCCCAGTCTCTCAAACCTCTCTTAGATCGGAAGATATGGGAAATGCTGGATGGATCGAGTGAAATGCTAGATCGATCGATGGAGAGGGGCGATTTCGCTCCTGTTTCGCTCCCAGAGGTGGTCCTTGATCTCACGGTGTCTGCTCCGCGTGGCTTCCGCTCCGGTCGCGTGCCTTCTGCCCGGGGCTCCGCTGCTCCCGCAGCAGGCGCTCGAAGAAGGGGTGCAACCCCCAGTCGTGCGCGGGCGGCTCGCTGGCGCCACCCAGCAAGTCCAATAAGGGAAGCACCTCATCTCCCCACCCCTCTCATCGGCTGAAACACCTCCGACCCCCTCCAGTACTCTAGCGACTCTTGTTGTCCACGGAGAAAAGCCTCCCTCCGCCGTGCACCCACCACTGTACCGAAGGATCCCAACCACGCCCGAGTCACCGAAGGATCTTCGAAGCCATAAGGTCTGGGCTTCCGCTCCACGGCCGCCTCTGAAGGCGGGGAAGACGGTACGATCCGCTCCCTTGGGACCGAACCCAGGGACCCCGGGTCCCGCTGAGCTGATCAGGTGATCGGTCTACTCTGAGCTGCTAAACTGGTCAATCAGGAAGAAACACAAAGAAAGCTGCCTGAACTTTTGCAAGAACACTGCAACTTAGGGTGCTCATCCATTACTGACATATAAATGAGACATGGTAAGACATTGTGAGACCTTCCAAAAAAAGAAACACTGTAAAAATCGCTTTACTGTTATATAGCGTATAGTTATTTGATAAGTACACAAGAATCAAAAAGGAAAACACAAAAAAAAAAAAAACTGACGGGTGCTGTTCGTCTCGGCCTGTTCGTCCAAAACGCCGTATACCTTACCCCAACGGAGCCCCCCACCGCGGGACGCGACGGGTCGATCTAGGGGCCTCCACGTCCTTCACCACGGCCTGAGCGCGACCCAAGACCGCCATGGAGGTGGCCTTCATCTCCTGCGCAACACGAAGGCCTACGCGCCAGACGTCGATTCCGTGCCAGCTTCGGAGCTGAAGAGCTGCTGAAGAGCTGGTGGTCCTTTGAGTTTGGAGAACTCATGGAACCACCCAATCATGATTGCAAACAGACCAATCAATGCTTGGAGAAAGAAGCTGCAGACTCACCAGTTCAACCTGAGGTAGCTTTTCCAAGGAGTGATCGAGATCTAGTCTTCGTTTTGTGGCCCCCCAGCAGGTGGCCACGCCGTACTAGTCCCCTCCAAAAAAAATAACACTAGTCGAGGATCAATCTGGAAAAACTGGAAGGAACCAAGAGAGGTTGAGATACCATATAGGACCCTGTAGTGGTACATATGGGATGGGCGCCCTAAGGCTGTTCACCCTCTCTTGGAACTTCAATCTGGAAAGTGTTGACTCGACGAATGCCTCGAGGAGTCGACGGGACGACCCGACCGCACGACGGGACGACGACCGTCTTCACATCGGTAGAGGACCGTGTCAGTTGGATGAGTCGAAACTCTTCGCTTCCGTCGCGCCCTATAGGGCCCAAAAGACCTCCGTCTTTGGCTTTTGGAACCCAAAAGGCCTATAGGTGCTATAACAATCAAAATATGAATGTCCAACTACCAGGACCCTCCTGTCGGGGTGTCCAATGGACTACCCCACACTACCTATAGGCTTCCAGACAGGGCACCCCTTGGAGGGTCCTGGTATAGGCAGACATTGTTCTGGTTTGCAGATGTTTAGAGGACTTTGTATGTACCGCCATCGGTTGATCTTGTAGGTCAAGCCCACTCACGGACACCGCTTCTATGGGTCACGAGGTCACTGGTGAACAGAGAGATCCGTCGAGAAAACGTCCCAGCTTTCTACGAAGACCTCGACGCAAACCCTCGCGGGGCGCGCGTTGGCGCACCATGGACCGCGCGGGGCGCGGACGGTCGACCTTAGCACCCCCATTGTGTTGTACTGGTGTTTCATTGCGAGGAGGTAGGGTGAAAATGAATGGAAAGTAACTATAGACGAGACTGGAGAGCTTCAAAAGATATGCAGGTCGAACTCTCAGAACTTCGATTTCGAGTGAAGCCGCATTCTCAGCATGGCAGCATCGCATTCTCAGCACCGCACAGACCCAAGGAACGGACCGGCACACCAGTCATGACACCCAGTGCACCACCAGGCTGGTGGAAAACCTTCACCCGACACCTGGAGGTCGGTAGGCTGGATGGACCCTCGAAACGGGGGAGACCAAGCTACGACCCATTCCCACTGGAACCATCGCTGGAACAACCGCAGCGTGTTGGACCAGCCACTGGAGGACAGGCTTCGGCCCCATACCCACCACACGTCTCCTTGACACCACGGGAGGCCTCCAGCTCGAGGTTTCCACTCACCTTCACCTTTGACAGTTCAGGCAGATCGAAGGGGGCCATCTGTCCCTTCCCGGCACCCAGATTCACTGGATTCGGCACGAAACGGACGCGAGGCCATTGGAACTGCGGCCGAGGCCGAACTGCGGGTCAAATGTCTGGGTCAAATGACAGGCATTCTTTTGTGGGTCAAATGGTCCATAAGCTGTGTCAGGTGGAGGTTGGCCAACTTGCCGTCCAAGTCGACGCCGATGAAAGAGAGTTTACCGTCGACCCCGAGTTGGTCCCCAAGATGGCTTGATGTCTGTAAACCATGCGTGGCCTCTAGTTTCATGAGCGAAAAGGAAGAACTTCCCGCTTTCCTCCCCTGCCCCAAACCAACCAACCACTCCGTAGGCGCCGCCAGCGCCGCCAGAACGGCACCAGGCGCTGCCCAGGCGCTGCCGCCAGCGAAAGCTGGCTGAGGCCCAGTCGTAGGAGTCGCTTCTCAGACACGGATAAGGACTGGGCGGCCGCCAAGTCGTTGGCCGCGAAGGACAACAACCTGAGAGGTTTCGGGGCTTCCGCGCAGGTTTCAGGGTGTGCCGGGGTGAGGGGGGCGTCCGCTTTTCTGGGTTCCAGATCCGGTTCCCTCCAAGGCGCTGCTCCCGCAGGTGCCACTTCAGCAGCTTGGCTTTGGAGCTGCTAAAGCCACCCACCTCGCGCGAGCACCGTCCCCATGATTCGGCGTGTTTTTTGTTGGAATGGTTCGAGGGCAACATTTACACGGCTGTTGCCGAACCAAGTGTTCGTCGGTTCTTCATCGTGTTGTGCCTCTTGAATGGTGGATCATGGCTGTGGGATGACAGCTTTGGAACGTCAAACAAGTTTCACCCAGCCAATCACAACACTTGATCTGTGAACTACCTTAGAAGCCCCTGTCAAAGTACATGTATGCTCACCACACAGGAGCCCCCCTCAAGAGATCTTCAAAGGAAACGAACTCTAACTGAAACTGCTCCCCCAATGTAGAGCTTTACTGAGTCCCACATTCCCAAACTTCAGGAGAGTCTGACAACAATTCTTTGACCTTTGTCGGTTCATTCCCAACCCTTTGAAGAGGATCATGGTGTGATGATCGAAAAAAGAACCAAACCTCTCCAACCCTTCCTGGTGGCACCAGTAGGAGGCTCAACACCGAACTCATTGCGCCGACGTGGAGGTCATGAAGGTCATGAATGTCTCGGTCCAAGAAGAAGACGCTGCCAGGGGTCACAAAGGGGTGGTGTTTGGTCCCTAAGTGATTGGATAATGGGCACTCCTAACCTCCAAGTTCGGCACCCCTTTGTGACTCCTGGTGGATTTTTTTTTTTGGAATTGGCTTCCGTCCCCATGGATCACCCGAAGTAAGAAAGCTCTTTTGAGCTGCAAAAAAACGCCCCAAAAAATGTGTCTCGTCTTGCTGCCCATGTTTTTGCCTCCAGCAAAAGCACCCGAAGAGAAAATGTCAAATACCTCCAGCCATCAGTGTTGGCACACTGCGGCGAGCGCCACTCCTGTCCAGATTGCATGTCAGAATCGTGGTTCCAAAGAGGCCAAGTCGTGCCATTCAAGCCGTGCACTTCATGTCAATAGCTTGCCAAGGGCTTCGGGAACTCTCGAAAAGCTTCTCGGCTCCATCATGTCTTGGAAAAGAACTGGATAATTACCCCAACCTGCAGCTTCTCGCTTCCTCCTAAGCAAATGCTAGATGAAGGTTCATTGGATTGGATCATAAACTTTGGAAATCCCTACTCTGGCACTACAGCACCACGAATCCCTCTCTACCCTAGAACCTTTCCCCCTTCTTAAACTCCTTCACCCTCCCCAGAAAATATCTGTAAACCCTGAAGCTCCTGAAACAAACCGAGTCTGGTTTCCCAAAACCGCCCTAAACCGCTCCAAACCGCTCCTGGGTGGCGGGGCTCGTGGGATTGACCGTGGCCAAGAGGTGCTCCAAGGGGCTTCCGGCCAACCAGGGCAGCAGCTTATCGTACAAGGGCAGCTGATCGTGACACGGCTGCACAGCCGTGACCACCAGCCTAGGCACCCGCGTCGAGACGCAGACGCTGGCGTCCGTGTCCGGTGGAGCACGGTGGAGCCGAAGAGGGGCCCAACAAAGCGAGGGCCAAAGAGAAACGAAGAAAAGGTCCGAAGAAGCTCGTGAAGCGGTAGGCTTTCAAAAAGGTGCTTCAGTGCTTTTCTGTGGGTGGAAACAGACGAGCTTTCTTGTGATGGGAAGGAAACTCAATCCTCAAAGACCAAAATCCTGTTTCAGAAACTGTGCCACTGAACTCGTGCAGCAGAACCTCTATAATTAGGCACTGCTTGATCATCGGCACCCGTTCGACAGGCCCACAGGTGTTTCACAGGCCCCGCATCCCACCACTTCCAACACATCCCACGAAAACTCCAAGAGTATCAAAAAGTGCTCTTTTGATATCCCAGTTTGAGGTCACCAAAAAATAGAACACACACACACTGTATATAGGAGGTTCCAGTAGCAACATATAGGAGGTTCCTTCGGTCACCAACGTCGCTGTGAGATGAGGCGCATCATCCAGAAGCCCTCGTCCTCCGCGCGCGCCGCGGGGATATCGTCCAGCTCCAGCGCCACTCGGTAGCGGATCTTAGGAGGGCGTGAAGCATCGGTGGCGTGGTACGCGAGGCCAATGGGGCTGGAGTTCACCACCAAGAAGCCTTGGTGAGCGAAGCTGAGCTGAGGCGAGGGGTTTGGGACCCAATGAACCCTCAAAATCAAGAGACCCGAGACGAAGCAAGTCAGCCAACCACGCGAGACTCTCGGGGTCAATTGGAAGATGTCTATCTTCGACTAGATCGACATATTCGACTCTAGACCAGTCAACACGAAGAGGGGGATGCCCTCTCCGACGTTCGGACAAGCACCCGGCGACTGAACTTCGCCGCACACCACGTGCCGCACCACGTGCCGACTCAGTAGCGGTAGTTGCCGCTACCTTTGCGTTCCACGATCAGCATCAACAACTGAGAGCTTCGCTGCAAGCGAATGCCTGGCGTGGAACCACCGTGGAGGGCAGGCATTCGAAACGGGGAGAGTAGGTTCTTTTCACTGGCAAGCCGCACAAACCAGTCTGCTTTGGTGGAGAATGTAGCCAATGTAGATCGATGTCTGCTTCGATGTATACACTCCCGACAACTAACATGGAACCTGAGAATGGCACCCTAAAACACTGGTTTCCTCTAGCTGCAGCAGCGGTTTTCAGTTAAATTCAGACCTCGAACGGGGTCGATCAGCCACACCTCTTCATACTATTCATCCGATGAGGCAAGGACTAACTTGGGAGACTTTAAGGTTATTTTCGAGCCGCACCACGATGCTTGAAAGAAGTCTCCAATCCTTTGGATGATGGCTTCGACCTTAACGTCTGTTTCTCTTGTGATGATGATGATGATGATGATGATGATGATGATGATGATGATGGTTTTTGGAGTCCCAAAGTCATCCCCTTGAAATGATTCTTTAGACAGAAGTGTCACGCAATGCGACATCGTGAAGACTCTACATGGCACACACTCCCTGAAAATCTTTGAAACCATCATGGAAGTCCATACCAGAGCCCTGAGTTCGGATGAGAATTTGTTCCGAAGCAGTTAAACAGGCTGAGAAATACCTACGCCATGTAACAAATCGATACAAATCGTCCATGTGCGTTTTCCTCTACCCCTGTACATCCCAAAACCCCACCCTTTTCCCTCGCTTCTCCGCACCTTTCCCTCACCCCCCCCACGTGTTCAGACCGCGCGCCCGGGCCTAGCGGCACCAGCAGCCGTCCGCCCGGCTGCAGCTCCGCCCGCGCCTGCGCCAAGCGGCGAAGGTAGATGGCCGAGAGGGCGCTGAGTTGATCGGCAGCAGTGCAAGTCCAGAGTTGGTGCCACTTCTTCATCAGCAGTTCCTGAAGCGCCAGGATCTGAGGCCCTCCCAATTGGCACGGAATTGGCCAGGAATGGTTCGCAGGCCGTGACAGAAGCCCGCCGAGGGCCGGCGGACAGGCCTTTCGGGCGGAATTGGAATTGGAGGACCGGCCGTGACGGACCAAACAGCCAGGACTTCGCTCCAAGGGATCCGCGCGGAGCGCTACGGTAGCGCCACCACCGCGCGCCACTCGTTTGGATGGACGGTTTTGGTGCGCTTGGTTTGCCAAAATTCAAGTATAGTGGTTCACAAATACCAGGACCCTCCAGTCGGGGTGCCCTGTCTGGAAGCCGAACGGCCGGTAGTGTGGGGTAGTCCACTGGACACCCCGAAAACGGAGGGTCCAGGTAGATAGCACGATCTATTTGGGGACCCCTAGACCCTGCAATTGGACCCCTAAAACCAATGGGTTGCAGAGGAAGATGGTCTGAACAATGGGTGACTTTTCTTAGGGGGTCGATGTGGTTTGTCTGTGGGGGTGTAGCTCACAGGATTCCCATGAAGGTCTAGACCCTCCAGTGTCTCCGACTGTTGAAGCACCATGACTATAAGCACCAAGATGAGCTGACCAACGATGAAGAGGTGAGGCTTGGAGATATTTGAAAACAATTGGAAAACCAATTGCTCTTCACATCTGTTCCGCAGCGGTTTGAAAAACTACTAGAAATGTGATGTGTTTTAAAGGAAACGACACGGTGCGTTTTTCAGAGCATCCCCACGGCGGTGTACATATGATATATGCATGTATATGTGTCCTCCCATCTGGTTTTTTCACCGAGCGGCACCCAAAACCTTCCAGGGCCCCAAAAAGGACCTGCAAAAAAAACCGTGTGTTCGCCGAGTCTCTAACTCTCTGAAGAGTCCCAAGACACGCTTGCAGCCATTCACATCAGCAGGCGTCCATAGGCTGTTCGCGCTCATCTTCTCCACCACACCATCCAAGGCCATGCAGAAGATGCTGTAGAGGTGTAATCTTGGAAGAACGCAAAGTCCAGCCGGTTTGAAGTAGAATTGGTCGAAAGGAGTTAGTTCACTCTTCTATCCTCTACATTTGAGGGTTATCATAAACAGTTCAAAAAAGGCTTGTTCTATTTGACCCCCAAATCCAGCTAGAATTCGACTGCGCTTAAGCCCACTGTTGTCTTCAATCCAGGTTAAGATGTTACAAGTCCAAGCTTGTTCCCAAGAGTTCAAAACCACAGCTAAGCCCACCAAAAGCATTTAGATCTACAATATTCTACCAGGGGTCTACCCAAACCCTACATCCCTCCCTCCAACATGACCCTGCCACCAAAGACCTCTTCCATGCCTTGGCTGTCCGAACACCGAAACCGAGGTGCGGGGAGCCACCCGCCGCGGGCACGAAGGGGTTGCAGAACTCTGCCACATAGGACCCATGGACCCACAAAGGAATGGCCTGGCGACGCACGCTGCACGACCCCAGGCACCGATGGCACTCGAAGTCCGGCACGACCCTTTTCGTCCGGCACCGACGGAAGGGCTCGACGATGGCACTCGACGTGGTGAAGCTCGGAACACTCGTCTCACATCCACGGCAGACTTCACGTCTTGAGAGGAAGGATGGCCGTGGTTGGCAGAGTTCGTGGTCATGAGACGACGGGTTTCGTGGTCATTTTGTTGTGATGAGACCACTGAGAGGGACCTCGGATCTCGTTCCATCTCGTTCCATCCTCCAGGAACGAAGTGTCTTGTGGGGAGCGAGAGCGAGTTGCAATGCCGCTTCAGCGTCCCGTTCGGTTCGGTACTGGCACCCCAAGAGGTCTTTTGGAGGGGAGGTTCATGTAAACCATGACACGCATCCACAGAGTGGATCCACTATGGTGAGAAGGTCAACGGTAGAACTTGGCCAAGTGGATTCGGACCAAGAAACTGGCAAACTGGGGATCCGACACATGCTTTGCTCCGTGGGGGCTCCTTCCTCCTTTTTCGGTTTGCGAGCTGCTTCCACCCACGTGGATCATGAGCCATCAGTTCTTCCTGGTCACTCCTGAGGAAGCAACATCAGCTAGAGTAGATGTACATTAGACTCATTAGACCCTTGTTAAGGGAAGCTTGTTCCATCTCTGAAAACGGTTTTGGGGGCACCAAATGTCCTTTGAGCTCAGCAAAGCTAGAGCAAAGCCCCGTTTTGGATCTTGTCTGTTGGTTCTATGAAGGCAAAGCACACACCCTCGAAATCCCAAACTCTCACCTGCACCGCCTGAGCCAGTCCAGCTTGAAGGTACAAAACTCATGCAAACTCCTACTGACTCCTCATTCCGCCACTTGCTTCCATCCAGCCCGCCAGCCAGCGCAAGGCCGCCCGCCTTCTTCTTCATGATGGGCGCCAGCGTCAGACTCTGTGGAATCTGCACCGGTCGCTTCTTGTGTCGACTGCTCACGTATTGATCCTCGATGGCCTTGGGCGTCAGGATGCTGTTCCGGAAGATCGCCTGAGGGCGGACGGAGGCGCCTGCCGGTGGCCGTCTTCCTAGGGAAGTGAAGCACGTGAATCACGTCCAAGCACCACGTGAATAACGCGTCCGTCGAGCTAGACGGCACGTCTAGATGGGGTGAAAAACTAAAGGTCATGGTACACTCCCAAAAGGTCCCATGGTCGTTGCAAACAAATCATGAAAGACCCTCGAACAGCTCACCTTCAACGTGTCCATGTGTTGTACTCACACAGCCAGGACACAAGCCACTATGTGACCACACAGCAACCCCTCTCCACGCCATGTGGTCCGTCCCACCTCCCACCCCCTCTCGAACCTCTGAACACCCCCAAAACCCGAACCCCAAAACCCGAACCCCGAACCCCCGAAGCGCGCACCGAACCGCCACGTACCCCGTGTCACTACGTACGCTTGATGGAGGTGGTTTCACCGCCCCGCCGAACACGCCGGTTCCGGCGGTGCGGCGGCCTTCCGCAGCTTCGTGCCGCCGGGCATGCTCCGGATGCTGCTGGACGCAAAGAGGAGGAAGCCCTCTTGCGGCACCGCGAAGGGCGAGGCGAAGGAGTATCCGAAGCCTCCGAGATGCACCGTGGACACGACACGACTCGCGTCGCGGTCACAGCGTCGCGGCGTCGCGGCGCCGCGTGGCGCGTGGCGACGCTGAATGAAGCGCAGAAGACGGAAGACGAGGCGGAGAGAGCGGAAAGAGACGGAACGAGGCGGGAGCCTTTATTGGGTGTCAAGGTCTCCTGAGCCGTAGAAAATCAAGGCCAGCGACCCAAGAGAACAGCTGTATAGTGATCACTCACCTAATCATGCTGAAAGGGAGAAAGCTCCGAAGCTTCTCACTTTCAGGCCTTCTCCCTCCATTCGAAGCAATCTCCGGTTCCTCCATTTCGATGCCTTTGGTGCCTCCGCCCGCAGGTGAACCCCCCTCCACTCGCCCCCCGCCGCCGTCTCAGCAGTCGACCCCTCGGCCTGCATAGGCTTCGTATTCCGTAGGCCCTTCACTCACGCCCTTCCGCCGGTCCTTGCCGCCCTCCCGGCCGAAGCCGCCGCCGCCGCCTGTGAACGGGGCGGCAATCGCAACGACGGACGCGGCGGCTTTGACGGACTGGAGAGAAGAACCATTGGGGTCCACTGACCGTGCTGCGGTCGTTCCGTGTTGGGTGTGAATGGAGGGAGAGGTTGTGCCCAATTGATAGATCCATATCAAATGGGGGGTCTGTTCAAGCCACTTCTGCTTCACCTCCACTTCACATCTCACCTCCACACGCACCCAGACCTATGGACCAACAGACCCGCCTGTACGCCCGAAGCTGCTCTCGAAGATGTCGATGGGTTTATCCACAGCAATGCCATCCAAGTAGAGGCACATCTCATCACCTCAAAGAAGGCAAGTTTAGACCGGCTTAAAGTGATGGTCTGATCTATATAGTCTCTCATCCATTGAAGTATGGAGTCTCTTCCACTCAAGTCACCCAAATTCGCACCAGTTTGCTTGTGCCCCGACACATGTTTGAGTCAAAGTGCTGATTTCGTGTTTGATTGCGCCCCGTCTACCTTTCTCAGCAACTCCTCTCTTCATGAATGGCTACTCCCAGGGCTTTCGGGAAACACACATCCTTTTCGGTCGGCTTCAGGACCCAAGCGGCGTACACTGTCCACCGTCACCGTCAAGGAATGCCAACGCCCAGGGTACAAGCGCTTCTCCAAAACCCGATCCTTCACTTTCAAATGGCACGTCCTTAGATGGCATCGAACAAATGAATATGTTGGTTTGTGTGTCAGGTCTCACCAAAAGGAATCTGACGACCGGCACGGTGATCCAACATCGTCCTTACTAAGTGTTGATGGTTGTATGGGTTTTTGTAGATGGGAGAGGAGAAAACTTGATGGTTCGTCCTTGCGTAATATCCCCTTCGTAGGTTCAGTGGATGTGCTTTTTTCCACGTTGCAACTCATTGAAGTTACGAACAATATGACAATATCCATGAATTCCAAGAGAGAAAAGACGATGGTTGATGACGATCCTCACAAAATGGCGAGGCCTTTGGAACAGAATTGCGAGGCCAAGCTCTTACCCTAGGCCTCCAATCGAACCTGAGAAGGTGGGACTGGGGTCCAGTCATACCGAACCTGAGGAGGTACGACTGGAGGTGTAGGGTTACGGAGCTGTTACTGGTTTTGGAAGAGACCCTAGACCCGGTGGACACCTCTTGCGGTGGGTTCTCCGCTCGGAGAAGCCCCGGTGTGCCACCGCGTTTGAGCCGCCCCGGTGATAGTCTATAGATGTGCAGAGGAGGTGGATTTTCAGAGATAGAACAATCCCTCTGACCTTCTCACGGCCGTGGATGGCACCAAGGGCACCATGTTGGGTGGTTCCACCATGGACCCCCATCTAAAGGTCGGTCCTCTTGGGGTGCCAGAGCCCACCATACCAACTGTCGACCCGAGTCCTCTGTGCCAGTGCTCTGAGGCGTGCCCACTCCAAGTCATCAATTGCCAGGGATTCTGCTGGTATGCACACTCTCCCAAACGTCAAGAGGCTTTAGACTGTATTTCTGTGCCACATCGGGGCGGAAGTGAGCTAGTGGAAGGCTACAGCAACTGAAAGCATCCCGCACATCCCCCCCTTTTCCTCATCCTCATCCTGCTGAAGAACTTCGAACTTACCCCAAAACCACCCCCCCCCCAAAGAAAACCAGTTAAGCCTCCAATCCTCATCCTCATCCCCCAAACCCCTCTTCCCCAACCAACGCCACCCGCCACCTCTCGAGCTGGACCTTAGCCTCAAAAAACCGAGCTGCGGATGTCGAGAGGCCTTGGTGTTGGCCTTATCCACTGGCTCCAAGCCTCGGACGCAGCACCCGCCAGGCGCCGCGGCATTGCGCGCGTGGCGGACGCTGGGGACCGACGCGGCTCTCCGCGGAAGAACGGTGCACTCGGCACGACCTCTGGGCGATCCGGGACCCCTGTGGAGTGCACGGGACCGGGTTCGGACGTCGACGGTCGTCGATGTGTTCGTCTTAGCAGACACAGACGTCGCACGCGCCTTGGTCCGAGTGTCGTGAGACGTCGACGTTTGGTCTGTTTCGAAGAAAAGGTAGACTGGGACGGTGGCCATGGCCTCTTTGCTGTCCCAGGGGCAGGTGCGATTAAAGGAGACCCAGCCCTGTGGGTCCAGTTCATCGGTTTCGTAGACTTGCGTGCCCAGCGTCACCAGGCGTAGCTTGTGCTCACCTGGCGTCGGAGTCGTCGCGCAGCTGGCTATGCGTCAAACAAACCCCTTCACTCGCCTGCGCTGGATGTGTCGATCACGCTGACATCATATCCAAGTGCTTAGGGGGGGGACTTTGCAGCTTGGCATCCTGCATGCTCCATGCAAAGCAACAAGCAAGGAAAAGAATGTGAGGAATAAAGGGATGGTGGCAAATCACGGAAAGGTCCATCTGAGATGTTGGAATTGGAATTGATGAATAGCCGTGAGCTCATGATTTGGGTATTCAGGTCAGCAAAACTTCCCCGCATTCCCCCACCCTGACGTTCCTCTTCCTTCCGGTTGATTTCGCCTTCAATGGCCCTTCTCCCGACCCGAAGCTTCTTCCTCTACCCATTCTGGAAGGCCAACAGAATTTTATCCCTTCATCGAACCCCAAAAAAGGACTGCGTTCATGCTCTTCCCAAAGCCCATTTGAGCTCCCAACTCCAAAAACCAAGCACCCTTCAGCCTTCCGATTGATAGGTGAGCTCATGACCTAACTCCAATTCGCGATCCTCCGCGTTTGGACCGAGAACCGGATGGTTCACCCGCGGTGTTTTTTTGTTCTGGATCTGGTCGCCATGTGGCTCATCTTCAAACCCCGAAAAATGAGTGAATCAACCCATCATGTAGGATCTTGATGGTATTTCAAACCCCCCATCCGGGCCCCATGATGGATGATCAAACCTCGCCATGCTTGAGGTGGAAAACATGTCATCTAAGAGTCATCTACAGCCTCAGGGAGGCACGTGGTTCCTCCTCCTCACCCGGCCGGCGCCGGTTCGGACTCGGGCGAGTTCGGGTGAAGCGAGTGCGCGCCGCTTCGTCTTCGCTCGCCGTGCCGAGGGCAACCGTCGACGATCTTCCTCTACCAACCCAGGGGGTTGTCAGGTTCGGAACTTCGGATCGTCTTCCAGGTGACGTCCATCCCAGACACGTGGACTGCCATGTCGGACTGCCGTTTCGAAACGGCCGTTGGGGTGGTGGTGGACTGGGGGGTCGTCCATGGATCGACATCAGATATGGCAGTCCCATGGAGTGTCTGGGGATGGTTGATTCAACAAAAAACCATCGGAATATTGTAAAGCCTCTTCAGGCGCCTTTGGGGAAAGTGAAAATAGAACCGAGCGAACGATCAACTGACATGCTGAGCTACTCTTTGGCACTCCACCCACTCACCCCACCAAACCCTGCCAGCTGCTCCGCTTCACCCCCGCAGCCCTCGCACCGTACAGCAGTACTACAGCGTCCCCCCCCCGCTCCCCCGCCCCCCCCGCTTCACCCCGACCGCTCCGCACTCGTCCTCTGGATCGAAGATGGACACGGCAGCAGCGCCGTACAGATCATCCAACCAGCCATGCAATCCTGGAGCGGGCACCGGGTCGACCGGACCCCCCGGTCCAGCGAGTCGAGCGGTCCGGGGAGCGTCGCGTCTCGGGGTCTTTAGGTCGGTGTCCCACCGCCGGCGCCGGTCACACGGAGAGATCCAATGCAGTAAAGTAGCCCTAGAAGTGGTGGCCCACCAGTCTTTTAATAGCCGTTACCATGCTTTACCGAACAACCATATTGTTTCGGTGCTACACTACACCAGATTGACCATTTTAAAAGTGGTCTTTGACTTCGAGGGGTAGGTGCATCTATCCACGTGAAAGCAAGATTGAACATCTGAAGCCCAATGGTTCGCCGCATTCGCATTGAGGTACCTCTCTTGTCTTTCAATTAAACCATGCGTTCGGTACCTGGCATAATTAGTCTACTTTCCAACCAAACCATGATGATACAGAAAAGGGAGTGATGAGTCAAGGGATGCCCCAACTACCCACTCCAAAAATCATTCGAACACGGTAGACGACTTCTTCTTTGAGATGTGCCGAATTCCAAGAAGGCTTGGGACGACGTCCGAACGGACGAGACGTCACTTCGATGGCCATGGCTCTAAAGTCCATACTCCAGGTATTGGTGCAGTCACCCCCATCGCTGATGCTGAAGGTGTGAGTGCCAGTTTGCCGCATGGTCAAATGCCTCAGACGGAGCTTCCTTCTCCTTCGACGTCCTGCTTTCGGGACCCCGACTGACCGGGGTCCAAGCGCTTGCAGCGACTCAGCGGTTGCGTTCGAACGACGGCGACTCAGAATGAGCCCCGGACCTGATGGGTCAAAGAGGCACCTTCCGGTACCCAGACACTCCATGCCATCGAGTTTTGGGGTCCATTGATCAGTACTATGGCAGTCCCAGACAGGTCGTGTCGGCCGTTCTACAGGGGTCCGTTGCTGAAACGTCGGATTCTCTTTTAGGTCGATCGGTGGCCCAGTCCCACGTGCACGGATGGTTTTGCACGCTCCGAATGGCCTCTGGCGTCAGCGTCGGAACAGCCGGTCGAATCCACGGCCTTCGCCTGGTACGGTCAAAGGCAAAGGCCTCGCAAGCGTGGTGGGGAAAACCTGACCTGTTCACCGATCCCGAAATCATCCCTCCCTCCATCCCATCCCATATCATCTCATCTCATCCGAGCTGCAAAATATGATACCGCTGCCGCCCCGGGCTGAAGCCGATGTCCGCGTCCGGCTCGCCCTCCACGCGGACGGCGCCGTGGTCCACGCCCGGGAAGAAGGTCAAGGTCCGTGCGATGCCATTCGAAGAGACCTACCGAAGCGGTCCAAGCGAGGAGCGCGGCCAGTCGGTGCAAGCGAGCGACATCATGCACGGTGGAAGCGAAGTGGGAGCTGCGTTTTGGGTGGATTTGTTTGGTGACATGAGAGCTGAGGCCACCAAAAGAACTTGTTGGGCTACTGGCTGCAACATTGGGTAAAGTTGCAAGCTTGACTTCCTTTTCGCTTCGTGGCTGCCGCTCTCCAGATGGGGATTGACCCAAAAGAAATGAAATAAGTCCTCCTCGGCAAAACCCTGGCTTGTCTCACCAAACCTCTTCGGAGTTGACCCTCCCCTTCGAAGTTGTCGCGTGTTTTCGCAGCTCGTTTTGCTCAAAGTCGACGGGCTGGTCATTGGCTGAAAGAAAGTTCAACCACTCCAATCGCTATAAAGCAAAAGAAGACTAAAGGTGACTAAAGGACATAGAACTAGCACTTGCTGCAGTTGTTAGTGAGCGTGACGATGGCTCGACAAATTTTCTAGCCTTGTGGTATTGGCTTTGCAGCCCACATGAATTCAAGCGGACAAGCTTCTTTTTTCGGCTGCCGTGGAGCAAGCTTGTGCATGGGCTGGGTCCTGGGTCATGTGGATATGGCTTTCTCGGATGGTGATGAGTGATGAGGTTGAGTTTCTTACCCCCGCCCCCTCCGTCCCTCCCAAAAAAAATCCTCAACCAGGCAGGTGTCCGTGATGAATCATCAAGAGTCTTTCAACCCTGAAAGCCAAAAGACTCATATCCTTTTACTTCAGTCAGTCAAAACATCATCTTTGGACTTCTAGGGTTTACCAAACTTCCCCTCCCTTCGCCCCTTCTCGCCCCTCTTCAGGCCTTCACTGTGGTGGCACATCCAGCTTGTGAGCCCTCGCCCCAGTAGCCCGCGTGGATGGTGATATTCACCTCGCGCAGGCATGTGTGGAAAGGGAGCTGGATCAGCAGGAAGGAAGAATGAAGGAATGGTGGTCTCCGTGGTGGAGAATCCATGGAGATTCTTCTTGGGAAGTCTGGATTGGCTTCTTCATACATGCTTCCACTTTTTACATACCAGTACACCCTGCTCCTCAGAAATTGGGTTCCCTTGTAACCAGCCCCATGAAGATTGAAATGATTCAAAAGCTGAGTCAACGTCCACCTTCACATGATGCTACCGAAACCATCCAAAACAGCAGACGCTCCATCCAGCCCCCAAGGCGCTCCTCCGCTCCACGCGTGCCTTCGCGCTCCTGCACTCCGTGCGGAACCCGCGTCCGGTCCGTCGCGTATGGCGCCTCATCCTCCGTCTCGCGTCCGTGATGGTATCGTTCTTCGGTGGCCGGGGGCGCGCCCTCTTCGTCCTCCGCCGAGGTCGGGGGCACCGTTCGTCGCCACGAAGCCCGGGCGAGCGTCTTAGGCGGGCGGCACGGCGGGCGGGCGTAAGGCGTCGAGAACGCCGAAGAGGAGAGAAGGTTTGGCGGAACGTTCCAAGGTCGGTCTGGTCTCTGAAGCCGCTCATTGAAAGTCCGTTCGAGCGTTAAATCGTTGACCGGTTCTTTTCCGTCCAACCTGGTAGTCAGAGCGGCGTAGTCAGAGCTGTGTCCAGCGCCTAACTTTTTGTTGACCTGGTGTTGTAGTGTCAAATCCTTAAAAAATCTTAAAAGTAAAGCAATGGTTCTTTGGCAGAGTCTGTTACAATATGTAAATCAATGGGTATTTGTTGTGCCTAGGGAAGTCTAAACCTCAGAAGTCTTAACCGGTTTTTCCTGGGAGCTTGACCCCCAAAGATTCCTCACACCCCCACCTCATCTAACCTTCCAACATGGCTTCCAACACGCCTCGGTTCTCCGAAACTCGTCCGTTTCCTTCTCCGTCTTCACCGTCTTACGCGTCTCACGTCCTCCTCTTGTGCCGCTTTGAAGAGATCGAACTGGTCGCCCGTCGGGGCCGGCATCAAACCGCCGCCGCCCAGCTTGCCTCGGTTTCGACCCGATGGGGCGGCTCCCGTGGAGGGAGGCGGCGTGGGAGGTGCCGCGCCTCCAAAGGCGCGGGCCGAGCGAGGGAGCGAGGGAGAGGCGAGGGGCACCGTAATGGCGAAAGTGAAAGGGAGTTGGGAGGCCCTTCACCCACTGGAAACGTTTAACCTGTATGTTTTATCTGGGCATGCGAAGGCAGAGCATTCGGGGAGATGCAGCAAAAACTGGCCATAATATAAGTCAAAGATCACGGTGCTGGCCGTCCCTTTTGTGAGGTGTTCGCCAACAGAGCGTGCGGAACACTGAACAGGCACATCCAGATCCGGGATGAAAAGCCCAAAGTAATCATGGGACAGAAGAACATCCTCCAAAGGTCTTAGTTTGATGCATGGAACACAACTGAATGCCATTGTGGCAATATGGCCCCCTTGACGTAGCTTAATTCCTGTGATCGTGCTCTGATTAGTGGGTTCTGTCGTAACAAATAAGCAGCAAATCTCTTTTCTTCGCCGGCTCGAAGTTGAGGGCTGCAAACTCAGACGCTGTTCGTTGCGAAAGAGCCGAGCCCGGCCCATGGCCGCAAAAACACCGTCCATTTGTGGGCAAGTCATGAGTGAGAACAAAACAAGATCTCAAAAACAGCACGAGACACCGCTCTGGGGCTTCTTTGAGGTGACCTCCTCCTCTTCCACGGCCGTCAGCGCCTAAACAGGACCGACTCTCGGCGTTTTGACGGTCTGCAGCGCACAGCAACGCCTTCTTCGGGTGGAGCTTCTGAGCAGTTCTGACCTACAATCAAAACATACCAGGACCCTCCAAGGGTGTCTATTTATAGCCCCTTAGCCTTAATAAGGGGTGTCCAGAAAAACCACCCCGATCTAAGGCCCTGGTATAAAAACGCATGACATGACCCGTTCACCTTTCAAAACCTCCCAAAAAAGGGAGACCGACATCCTCTCCCAGGATCTCCTCAAGGGAGAATTTGGTGGCGCCTGGCGCTTGAACTTCACGGGGACGCGACGGGAGCCACTGGGCAACCGTTGCACCTCACCGCACTGCCTCGGGAGTGCCGACATGCGACGTGGGCACCATGGGCAGCATGGGCAGGAAATCTAGATTGGCTGGTTTTGGTCAAAACCCAGGCACCCTGATGTAAGGGAGGTCCACCTAGCATGGTTTGGTGGGGGAGGTGCCGCGACTCACAGCCATATCGGTCCTGAATGAAGAACTAGCTAGTGAGTGAAGGTCGGAGATGCTTCTGACGAACTCGAGCGGTGTTTTCTGAGAGCTGCAGAGATTATGGAGGCGGGGTTCACGGGGCATACCCGATGCCCCTCAATTCACCTTTCACTGCAGGTGATTTGCAGTAGGTTTGATAAAAGCTGTCCATGTTGCTCTGGCACTCAGCTTAACCTTTTATGGAAACCACCTGCCTACAAGTTCAACAGAGTGCAAGTGGCGTCCTAGCTGTTCATCTACCTCAGGTGAAAAATACTCGTTTCTCAGAAGTTTAGGGATACATCTTTCCACCCCTACCTACTGCCATGACACCTCTGTCAACTTCCATGCTGCCATTCAACCATCTTATGGGAAAGAGATGGAAAGAGGTATAAATTCAGATCTCTGCCCCGCAAGCCACCCAAACACAAGGTCGGAGCACCAAATGTTGCCCACCCTGACTACTGGTAGAGCATGCCATATCTATTGATATAATACATTACCAAAAAATATAAGAAACAGACCCTGAGGCCCTGAGGCCCTGACGCATCAAAAACAGAATAACCATGAATAACCATGATCAGCCAAGAAACTGAAGGACCGTGCCAGGCAGCAACCCGGCCAAGACCTGCGCTACTCTTGCTCCGCACAGCTCCGCACAGCTCCGCAGAGCTGGTCTGGGTAAGACCCAAAAAGAGATCCCGCGGGCCCGTGGACCTGGAAGCCACAGCTAACAGTCTAGAAAAAAATGGGGTTAGCATAACTCCTATGCAACGCCATAACCATAAAACAGTCTGATAACTGGTGTTTCATGTTTTTCAGGGTGCCATTTTCAGGGTTGCGAGTGTTGAGTGCAACACCTCCAACCTGCGGCCAACAACCTGCTGCCCTCTGCAGGTTTCGGCCCGTTTTCCATGTTTGGTGTCGCCGGTGGCCTTGGTGCGGTCGAAAAAAAGACACCGCAGCATCGGCAGGCTCGTTCGTTACACGAAATCAACAAATCAGGCCTCATGACACTCCCAAGATTCCACAACAAACTATATCATCACAGGTGATGTTGCAGCAAACTGACTATGGTTCGTCCATATTCTTCCTCCCTCAATATAGGTTGTGGATTGCGCTTGGGGTGAATGCCTGACTTGCGAGGAAAAGCGAGCAGTTCATCTCTATATGGGTCTGTTATCAGCACCTGCAGCAGCACTGCGCAGCGCCAGTGGGTGGGCACTGTGACCAAGCTGGCACATGCACATTTCCTGCTTTCACCGGTTGGTTGCAGGCGTGATCTTATCAACGATATCCACAATACAATCTGCATTGGAGTTTGTACAAGGGCGTTTTAGCCCACAGCCGCTTCACTTCATATCCACACAAAGAGTCGGCCCCAGAAGACTTCTGGGCTAAGCACTCCGCGCAGTCGGTTCGCACACTTGAGATTCACCACGAAAGCCGTGAGAAGAAGCACACCATCCAACAGGATGATTTGAGCCACCGGGGTCTTTGGAGCTTGTACATGCTCATGGTGGATTGCAGGCACGGACGTCTGCACTTTGGTCACCTGCAGACCGGTCAGCACCCCACGTGGTGTGACATCCACACTCGCCTTCGGCGCACAGAAGGGTGAGTTGGACGACCAACTCAACCTGCCCAGGCCAATCACAGCGAGCAGAAGCAGCGCGGGCGCTCGAGGTCGCCGGGACATGGCGTGACGAAGGGCACTTTGAGAGTCGTGGCGGTCGCGGGACGTCAGGGAGGTTCCTTGAGCTTCAAAGGCTGCAGGGGGTGTCGTGGCGCGACCCCGTCGCGGAGTGAGCAACTCGAGCCGTCACTCTAGCGGAAGGACCTATCAAGTTCAGGGATGACCCTGAGGCGGCGACCATCAAGCTGGCTCAAGAAATGAACACCGTCAAGCCACTCCAACTGAGGCCACTCCGGTCCTTTTCTGCAAAGGCGGGTACTTGAGTCCTCATAGCGATGGAGCAGTTGTTTCAATGCAAAAAGACAGAAATGAACACCATCAAGCTCCATGCGGCTTTGATCCCCACCTCTCAGCCACTGAGCTGATGATTTTGAAGGCAAAACTACGTGAGGATCAGAAGGATCCTCACGCCCTAGATCGTTGAAACGAGCCTGAAGCCTGGGTGATGAAGCCTGGAACTCATGACACATCATACAGACTGTATACAGACTGTATACAGACTGTATACAGTGGATCTTCAATCATCTTCGATCCATTTCACCCAACTCAGCATTTCAACCAACCTTCCACTCGCCTCCGCCCCCCCCCCCTCCCCCCCCCCCCTGTTGACCCTTTCTTCAGAAACCTCCCCCCCCTTGCGAGTGAAAAAGCCTAAAAGCCAGGCAGCGGCTTGGGGGTAAAAAAGAATCGAGAGCCTACATGGACCCCCCGTAAACCCCAAAACCATCCAAAACCCCTCTGCCTTAGACTTCGGATCCATCTCCAAGGTCACGGGCAAGCGACCATCGATGTCGGTGCCCACCATCCATTGAGGGAACTCCATGCGCGCCTGCGTTCCGGCGTTCCAACACGGGGCGACACGTTTCGGCTCTTCAGCGGTGTTGGTTTCCTCAAGGCGGTGAAGGTGGCGGTACCCTCCGTGCAGAAAAGGCGAAGTGGTTTTGGAACGAAGACGATCCATGCCTCGACTCGAAATCCATGCCTCGATCGAACTCGATGACGAGATGGACCGATCGATGGTTCAAAACTCGAATCAGCGAAAGATGTGTCCCTTTTCGTCGACTGGACTTCGACTTCGCCCGTCATACTGACCGAAAGAAGCCGACTCCTTCCGTAGCCAACACCGGTTCCGACTTCTCGGCTTCTTGGCGTGCCTTGGCCACCAAGCAAAGCTCGTCGGATTCGTGAACCTCAGGGAAGCTTGCCTCAGTGCTTGTGCAAACTGGAAATCTGCTCTCACTTTTCTGAACACTGACAATGGGTGTGTATGTATTAGGAAACCGGGTAGACTGGTCTATTTCCCTTCTCCCTTGAGGTCGGAACGCCCACCCAGTCGGTCTCCCTACTAGAAGCAACCTAAGAGCGGCCTCCAACCTAAGGTAGGGAGTACACACGATTGTGACCTTGATGCTCCCAAAATGTCAGCTGTTCTTCATGGCCCCATGGTCACGCTGCCGTTTTCGTGTGAAACCTTCGGGGTGTAGGTATCAATATTGGGCCATTAGGGAGACCTCCCAGGCGTTCCGCCCGCCAGGAAGAAAGTCCGAACGCCCTAGTCCTTCTATTGGGAATAGCAGGATATCCGATATCCTATGATGGACGGATCTGTTTATATACTTCAACAAGTCTGGATCTGTTTACTTCAAGGAGGAAGCAACGGCCAAGGAAGCTGCAGAACTTCCCCAAAACGCAAGTTCTGCCCCTCGATGTCTTCCTCCTCCAGGTCTCAGGTCTCCCCGTCCCAGCCGCCTGGTAGAGACACCAAGGATGCTCCAGCTGAGGATGTTGGTTGTCCAACTGCAATTCCAGCGTCAGGGTGTAGGATGGAATCGACTCGCCCGGTCGCAAGCGCTCGTGTCGCATGCCCTTGAAGGGCAACCTCGACTCGATTCGAAGGTCTCGGTCTCGAGGTGGTTTCACGTCCCCAAGAGTGATCCGTGTCACATGTGGGGTTAGTACGGCTGGGGAAAGCAAGAGGCCAAGAACATCCCCAAAATCAACAAAAAGGCCAGGAAAAGACGTGTTACAAACATAAACTCTTACGACTCTTACTCTTTACCAGCCAGTGTTTTCACCCTTGCGCATGTGCAAAGAGGGCTCCTACAGGCTTCTACAGGCTCTTTTTTGATCCTTGAAGAAGCCGATTTTGTAAGAGGGGTCACCTGGCTTCCAAGCGGAAAACCCTGCGGTGGTGGAAGAACCAGCTCTGCACCTCTGCACCTTCGTTTTGCTATTTGTTGAATGTCCATCACCCACAGCTGACCACCGCTCCGCCCCATCCACTTCATCCACTCGTCCTCGCCTCAAGTAGGTTCCTTTGCGCACCACCAGGAAGGTCTCCCCGCCACGTCCAGCCTTGAGCTCCACCCCTTCACCCACCGCCTCGACACCAGTGGGCAACTGCCCCGTGGTGAAGTCGAACTCCTCAGTTCCGGTCGGGAGCTTTTCGGGTCGCAGAAGAAGGCCACTGCGGTCGGAGAGAACCCCCGGTGTTGGGAGAGGGCGGTTTTTGGTGGAGACCGAAAAGGGAGGCCGAAAGGGAGACTGACCATACTAGCGCTGGGGTTTAGTCACCCGGGTGTGCAGAAAGTCACCCGGCCGCAAAACGCAGCATTCGTCAAAAGTCACCCGGCTCGCGAAAAGTCACCCGTTTTATGTAAAACACAATGTAAACGCTCTACGGAAGTATGTTTGTCAAAACTGCTATACATCAAGAATTCACTGCCCCTGTGCAGGAAAGAACTAGTTTTATGTCGAAGTTTGCAGCGTTTTGGTGACCGAACCCCAATCAGAACGCAAGGTTAGGACTATCGTGAAGATTACCCCCTAAACATAGATGCAGCATGCTGCCCTGCTTGCTTTGCTCTTCAAAAGCTGTGCATTGATGACCTTCATGTGGAAAAGATCACTAAAGGAAACATGGTGAGGCTGGCGCGAGTGCCGCGCGAGTCCCATGCACCCATGTACCCACGCCCCATGTACTCACGCCCCATGTACCCAAACAATGGTGTTGAACTGACGCTCCAAAGCTTATCTTCCAATGAGGGTGACATCTTGCATCTAACCCCAATGGAAACGCAGCATCCAAACAATGTTGTTGACCTAATGCTCTTCCAGTTATATTGCCATCTTGCATCTAACCCCAATGGAAACGCAACATCCAGACGACTTTCTACAAGACCAGACGACTTAACACAAGTGCTTGTAAGCTATGAAACTCATCGAGATATGGCTCAAGTGTTCTCGCCCATGAGGCTGCCGCCTACAACGTTGGAAACAAATCTCTCTTCACTAGGGGGAGATGTCTTTTTCCTGCATCTTGGTGATGTCAGTTGGCGATGTGAGTGATGTCACAAACTGCTCTCCACGTTGCCAACTTCCCACAGTGTTGAGCATCGATGAAGAGAAAACACATCCAAGTAGGAGTGTAGTCTTATAGGTGCGGAGACTTGCCCCATCAGCGGTTACTGCAGTTCTTCAAGTGTTGATCAACATCTTAACAATTGAACCTCTTCAAACGAATTGGACTCAGCCAAGTGGTTCTTTTGTAAGACCGGCGCCGTTTCTCCACACACACACCCCGCATCAGCCGCTACGTGCTGCAGGTGCTGCAGGCGAAGGGCATTGAAGGTCGTCGTGTAGGATAGCCCGGTGCCGTCGGATTCGGCTTGCTCCAGAGGGCGCAATTGTTTCAAAGGTACGCCCGTGCGAGCACTGCCGTCGTCATACTTCACCTCGCTTAAGCTTGCGCGCGAAAACGGTACGGTACGGCCCAACGCAAATCGCTCGATGCCACACACGCTACGCGTGTCGATGCCCACGTGTTAGAAAGAAAGGGAAAAACGAAAAGCACAGCTCGGATACCAAGGCAGAAGCCTGGCACCCGTTTCAAGCGTGCTTGTTTTTTGTGTTTTCCTTGACTGCAGGAAGACAGGAAGACACATGAAGACACACATGTTTCGACTGTGTCAATGTGTCTCTCAAGTCTCTCCTCTCATTTGTGAAGAAGCGAACCTCCGGATCCAGAACAACTTGCACGGACGAAGAACAAGAACGAAAAGACCCAACGAGCTGTTCCAAACGCTTCTTCCCTTTTTGACCTTTGATGTCCATGGCGATGGTGTTGGATCCCAGTCACATCACAGGTGGAGTTGTCGCCAACCTTCGTCACCTCGGGGGGCCGACGTCTCTTCCCGGCCGAGGCGTTGGACGTCTTCTTCGCCCCGCTACGGTCGACCGTGCGTCACTCTGTTCACGAACCAGGGACACACGGCGGTGGTCTCTGTGTGAGACACACGGACCAGGCCGATCACCCAGGCCGATCACAAGCTGGACCTGAAGGTTTGCCTCCTGTTCTAGAAGTGTTAAATCAGGAGCAAGCGATGAAGTCTGGCACCCATCCAAATCCGGACCAGGGCCCCCTTAAGGGGTGTCCAATTATAGCTCCTTAGAGGTTAAGGGATGTCCATTAACCACCCCTTAGGGGGACCTGGTATATGAGTTTTGCAAATATAGAACTTTATTTGCATACACTCCCCTCAAAAAATCATGGTTTCGTGGATGGCACCACTTGTTTGGTCTTGGGAAAACTCATTGGTCCTCAGAAAAAGGGGGACCCCTTGGCCATCCACCACGGATCCTACGCCGAGCCCCCGACGACCCCGCTCCGTCGGCCAGGGACGATGCCGGTGGCGCATTTGCCCGCTTTGGTGAGGTCCCTCACTTTCCTTGGCACCAGCTGAGGGGAAACCCCCACCGAAGCTGGAAGAGAATTCCCCCAACCAAAAAAGGATCACCTCTTTCCGTCTCCAGCACCCACCGTTTCGCGCCGGAAGAGGTGGTGCATGGACACCGTGCATGGACACCCACGCCGTCCTTCACCTGGTCCATGCACCTGTCCTCATGGTGTTCCCCTTGTGGACTGGACCGTCCGGGACCAGCATGGTGCGTAACCCGCTCCATGCGAAGCATCCATGCTAAGGCCTGAAACAGGTCGGTCGGGTCCCCGAAAAAGACCAAACGAACCGAGATGCTTCCGAGAAATGGATGCATGCATCTCTTAACGTGGAAGATGATGAGTGGTGATGTTTTGAAGCACCCAAGCCTGCCCGTCCGCTCAAACACAACTAGTTGGAGAGGGTCGACTGGTGGAGTGACTTGCGGGTCGACGGCACGAGGCCGGGGGGACGCGAGCGGACGCGGGCGGACGCGAGGATCAAGCTCCACGACAAAACGAGGACCCTGTGGATGGAATCATTGACCTTTCTACCAGGACCTTCCTTCCAAGAGGTGTCTATAAATAGCCTCTTGGAGCTGATTCGGGGTGTCAACCACCTGCTCAAAAAGGTCCTGGGATCCTGTTGTGCAACCCTTTGACCCTCAATCACCCTCAATCACTCGACCTTGCGGACCAATCTATTGAATACATTTTAAAAAAAGAAGGACCGTGGCGACCGGAAGCATACTTCCGGACACCCGAAAGCGAACCGACTTCGGACCCTTCGGATCCGTTCTGGTTCCGGACAGCCCTTCGGATCCGGACGCTCCTCGTTCTCACCAGGCGTCTCGTTGACGCGATACACGTGTCCGTCATCCGCCTCGTCCTCGTCGTTCTGATCCTCCGCCTCACCATCCTGCAAAAGCGATCCGTGGGAGCGGGGTCGATGGGAGCGGAGTCCTCTGATCCGGTGACATGAGCCGAGCGGAGTGAAACATCAGAACTGGAGCGGCAGTGCGGACGATGAGAGTGAGAAAAAGCCCCGTTCCCCCGTGAGAAACATGCGGTCTGTCCCTGAATATAGGAAAATCTAGGCAGGTGATGTTGCAATTGCCGTCTTGTGGCGACATATATTGCTGTGTGTGTTTTCTTCCGAGAGAACATGGCTCAAAGCCTGTCTACGCAAGGAAACTTCATGCGGACAGAATGTGAAGGGTACCTTAACAGAAACAAAGGACATTGAAATCCAGATGAATCTTCTATGGTTTCCAAGAAGCTGTCTCTTCTTGAAAACAATTAAACCCAAAGCCACGGGCGTTTGGGGTTCCCCATGTTCAGTTCCCCCCATTCCCTGTCAGAGAGAAGCCTGGGCCAGTGACGTCACGTCGTGCCTCATCCTCCTCCTCTTCATCACCCAGCAGTTCCAGCGCTGAGACACCAATGGACATGCTTGGACCATCTGCACCAGATCCAAGCTGAACCTGATGCGAAGGGAAAACGCGCAAGGTTATGGTTATGAGGAGCAGAAACCAAAGTGTCTGCATTTGGAGCAATGACGTGTGGATTGCTTGCTCAAAAAAGGTAGCCTTATGCCAGCATAGACCCCGAACAGTTTCAGCTTGTTTTTGGCGTCAATTCCTGGAATTCCGGTGGTCCAGCGTTCGGACAGCAGGAGGGACAAGAGAAGGACACAGGGTTCGCCAGCCCGGACAAAGGACGGCAAAAGGACAACGGCAGCAGGACGACACCGGGACACAGGGTTCAGGGGTGCGGCCAAACACGGTGGCCAGCGTCCTGGCCTGGCCAGCGGAGAGAACCTCAACAGTTTGTTAAATTGTTTGAGAATCAAGAAGAACACCAATGCGATTATATACTTGTTTCCGAAGGACCTCACGTAGTGACCAAGCCCCAATTTGGTAGAGGAAATGGCCCCCCGAAAGAAGCAAGTCCCTCCAGCTGGCACTTCCCATAGGCCCAGCTAGCCAAAACACGAGCTGTAGACAGCTGACTGGCTGGGAATTTTGGAATCTCATGCGCTTGCCTCTCTTTGACTCTCTTCCTTCCGCCAAAAAGGCAGCCAGTACTTTCACAGGCCTTCGTCAAGCCCTCATGCTTCATACCTTCTCAACGACCTTCACAAACAAAATCCCCCAAAACGTGTTCGCCCGCAAAGGCCATCCAACGGCCACCCAGAACCTCCCTCACCAGTGGGGACGCGCATGGCGCCGAAGCTTGAGGGCCTCCACCAGTTGCTTGCCCTCCTTCATCTGCACAGTCTTCACTCGTCCAGTCTGCCCCAAGAAAGCGCTCATGGAGGACTCCCAGGACAAGCCCACGTGCGACAGCGCCTACAGCGCGTGCACCCCGTCTGGAAGGGCGATCGGAGAGATCTTCGCGGCCCAGTCTGAAGTGAACACACTTGGATATAGATGTCCGAAACTCATGGAATTTGGCCATCACTGATATATATATATATATATATCTATGCCGCCATACCTTCTCCCCCGCTAAAGGAACTATAGTGGAGAACAAACCTCAAATGAGGGTATGGACTCTTCCCTGCGGCATTGCGACCGACTCTTCAGGCAGACACAGCAGACACGGACTCAGACCCGCACCTTCCGGACATCGGCGCTGACGCCGCTGATCTTCACCAAGTCTCCCACAAAGAGCTCCTCGCGGGGGCGAGGTGCCAAGAGGAAGGGGTCCCTGAAGACTTACGAAGCGGCAACTGTGCCTAGTCAAAGCTATGTTGCGACCACACAAAGCGGTATGTCAGCTTTCGGGGGTGTAGTAGAAGTAACCCTTGTGAAGGAGGTTAATTATTGATAATTATGGAAGAGTTTGGATGTTGGATGCTGTGTCAGAGGGTGCGATGGGGGGGCTGAGAACAAAAAGCATCTTGAGCCGCTGTCCTTTTCGTCTTGTGAATCTGAGGGTCGTACACTCCCTAGAATAAATAATCATGAAAGTGGTTTTCTACTTCCATGATGATTTCAGGGAGTGTATCTTTTGTTGAGTGGTTGGAAAGTGCATCAAGCTCAGAGCATGATGTTGTGATGTTCAGCAGTTGTGAACCAAAATGAACATCCCATGACTCACCATGAACGTCATGCCGTGTAGGCCTTTCTCAAAGAACCAAACCCCAGAGTTCTGTCACTCTGACAGTCGGGTTTCAGAAGCAAGAGAAGCGGAGAAACCCTGCACCACTCAAGCGAGTCCCTGGCACCCTCTCTCATGTGCGGGCGCCATCTCTCCATCCCTTGCACCGAAACGAGACGGATGCGCCTCTTCTTCTTCCTCCTTCTCTTCTTCCTGCGAAGAAAGACACCGCTTTTTCGCGAGAACCGCTGTTTGGCGCTCCACAGCGGCCCGAATGGATTCTGCGGGAGGAGGAGTAGGAGTAGGAGTAGTAGAAGTACTAGTACTAGTACTAGTACTAGCACTAGGAGTAGTAGTAGTAGTAGTAGTA